TAATAGAAATAATAATAACAATAATAGAAATAATAATAACAATAATAGTAATAATAATAACAATAATAGTAATAATAATAACAATAATAGTAATAATAATAACAATAATAGTAATAATAATAACAATAATAGTAATAATAATAACAATAATAGTAATAACAATAACAATAACAATAACAATGATAAATTATACTATAAATAAAAATGATAAAATTGTTATTGATGATGGTATTGATGGTGATTTGATCAGATTGATGATGATAATATTGATGATGATGATGATGGTGATAACCTCCCCAATCCCTTGCTCGTTGTTGTTGTGGGGGCTTTGGAAACTGGGACTGGGGCCCAATGTGAGGATCACCCTTACCTTTGTCCTCAGCCCTCGCCTCAACTAATTTTGCATGATCTTTCCTTCTCTATTTCTTTATTCCATTGTTCTGTCCACTTATCCTGAATTGTTAACTATTTTTTGCCGGTTTCACCATAATACTTCATCATAATACTCCCTACTCCCTTAACTCCTTCCCCCTTCTAAAAAGTACTTTGTGGCTAAGCACTAGCAGAGCCATCTATGGGCAGACATTTCACAAAAAATATAGAAAATTGGCACAACAATTTCCCCATTTTTTTTTTCATTTTCCCCAGCGGCATTGGGTTAAACTCCTTCCCCTTCTAACAACTTTTACCTTATACTATACCCCATCAGCTCCCCATCTCTAGCCTTTTCAATGCTATACTACCCATCATTACTATTCACCCTGTAACTTTATTCTTAATATTAACTCTTTCCTAAACCTTTTTGCTACTGTACTTTACCATATGCCATATGACCTTTGATGTGATCTAGCGCTTCCTTACCTGGTGGCTTTGACCCCAAACCTCACACTTTCGCTAAATTTTGAATATGCTGCTAATGACCTTAGATGTTGCCATGGCAGAAAATTTTCAATTAATAAATAATGATAATAATATTGATGAAGTTGATGATAATGGTAATTATTTTTAGGTATTATGAATTGTAATTTATAACAATTAATTTTTATTTTTTTCTTCTAGGAAACTTTGGAGACCACCAAGACCGCCATGAGAACATTGGCAAAGGCACCATTGGCATAGAAGGCTTTCGCAGGATCATGAACTGCAGTTATTTCAATGATATGCCCCTTATTCTGGAAACCCCTTGGACAAATAATGAAGGGTATGCAAAGGAGATCAAAATTCTGGAAGGCCTAGTAGAGGCATGAGCCATGAAGTGGTTTGGCTTTATTTATGTAACCCTCAGTAATAGTAAATACAAATTTTGGGGGGTGGGAAAGTACCCACACTTACCCTTTCCTGACGGGGCATGTGCTGAGACGTCATAACAAACTGCTCTATCTGTGGAGTGCGGCTGTATGCCACAGCAACGCGCCAAAGCACTATGAGCTAGTGATTTGGCTTGATGTAATTAATCCCGCACTTTGATCTCCAGAGCATATATATTTTTAAAAAATTTTCTTCACCCATCAGTAAGGGGTTATCAATGGTTTGGCATATTCCCATCCTCCCTAGGAATACTTCTCCATATAATTCTCTCTGTTTAATATAGAAATACAGTCCCTATTTTTTTACAGTTTTGTGAAAGATAGATTATAGTAAATTCCTAAAATGTGTAACTTGTGTAAAATTGTCACAAATTCTTTGAATAAGAAACTTCCATTTTATTGCTACTCTTTTTCACTTTTTATGGTTAAAAGACACAATAGAGGTTTTGTTTAAAGATTTACTCATATTCTTAATGGAACATGACAATAATTACAAAATGTTTACAAAAATAAACCAAAAGGATTTCTTGTGTTACGCGACTAGACAACTGAACAAAGTCTTCTGCTCTGTGTTAATGAATCTAGATACAACATTAAATAACATTAGTGGAATGAAAACTGGTAGGACGGGTACCATTAAGGCACTTTCATAATTGTTTTTACATACCATACAATTTTACATGGTAAAATTAAAGTGAACAGGTACTAATGGTAACTGAATACATATTAAAAGAAAGTAATATAAAATGTTTTACAAAATAACACAAAGAACAATTTCCTGATAAAAATAATAAAGCACAGCTTTATGGGAAAAGAAGGAACTAAGTATTTCTCTTTCAGGTAAGAATATTTACCTGCAAAAACAGTAAAATTAAAGTACAACCATTAGACAAATAATTATACATCAGGAGCCATTGACTGGTTTCAAAGTTGTTACAATTTGTAAAAAATTGGACTAAACCTCAAATATTAATTATTACTGAAAACAGCAATATTCTCACATTGAATCCATTTCCTAGTATATATTTCCTTTCAGTCAACTGCCTGCATTAATTTTTTTTATATAAAGTAACATGCATATATATGGTGGTTGTAAAAACACCTTTGTCATGTTTTACTATAAATTTTTAAATACGCTATGAACTGGAATGTTTTAATCATTGTTATAAATTTAGAATATTTAGGTTTCTCAA